GAAAACAGGAGACCAGAGCATGCAGGCTCATGTAGATTTAAATAGAAATGGCAGGAGTGGAAAATTCAAACAAGAAAGTAGCACGACATAAGGTATTTAAATATAGATGCTCCATCACTCTCTAATATCCTTCCAAGATAATGAACTGATATTCACATCCCAAGAATGGAGCCTCATCCATTCTTCTTCTATAGATGTCCCGTTTGTGAGCAAGCTATGTGATACTCACTGCCATATGTATGGCCAATGCACAGACAGGCTAGCCCCAATTCCTCTGCCCACACCTGTTTTCTCCCCAGGGGATCCTTCCCTCACCATGCTTCCTGTTTCTTACTATCTATGCCTACCTCTTTGCAAAGCTAATTTCTTCTCAGGCTTCTAAGACACACAGGCTAAAATGCACTCCAACCCATTAAATCTTTTTTCTCACTCCTTTCTAGTTATTTCAGTAAAAATTCTCTTGTTCTTTCATTCCATCTTTGAGTTTATGTGATCTTATTTCTGGATGATGGTTTCTATGATAAAGTGGAATTAGGAAAAGGTGAGCCACAAGAATGGAACTCCAAACGAAATTAATAAAAGTTATGCCACAAGGATAGAACTGAAAAGTAAAACTGAACAGAACTAAAAACTATGGTGTTATCACAAGTCTCTAAAGCTTCTTATGTAAAATAATTTCTGGAAATGTCTTCAAATTTTGTCTCTAGTTCCTCATTTTCTTCTAATTAAGTTTTCTTTGTTAATAATTGACTTAGATAAGCCACATAGGAAGACTAACAGCCATATCTAAAAGCAATACTTGAAATTAAAAACACATTCAACGCCATCATTCTCTTCTGTTACATCACTGTTACAGCTGCTGTGTTCATAGCAAGTATTTAGTATTCATTCTAAAATTGGGTTAATCACCTTTGATGGACTAGTGTATAGTCTTTCCAGAGATCTGAAGTTGCCTGCTGGAAGTGGGTGAGAACTAAATCATCGAAATAGTCTCTTCCCAACTTGCACTAGAAGAGGAAATTATGTAAATGATAGAGTGCGTATTCGCGTCACAGATGCACGCTTAGATTTATTAAAGTGACTTCACCATTTAAGGGAAGGGAATCAGTAGCATTTGCAGCACTCTCTAAAACCTCTGAGTTAACTATAAAATGAGCACTCTTGCTCAAAATGCTTTGTTCCTTCTTTTTGAAATCACATCAAAGAATTTTCCAAATAGGAAATTCCATTTCTAGAGTTTGCAGGTTTTATTGCAACAACAGATGTTCAGTTCATCTGAAATTGGACAGAGTCATCTAAGCAATCGTTTGGGGCATAAAAAGCATTAATAATGAAGAAAAAAGGCTGAGCTCTTTCCAACAGTCATAGCTTAAGTAGAGAGAAATAGACCATGAAACTGTAGAAACAAATGCCTGTTTTTCAGTGTGGCTAACATGCCTGTTCTGATACAAAGGCAAAAAGAAAAAGTTCTTAGAGGTTGGAAATCATGAGTTTCGTTAAATGGATTTGAACTCAAATTCCATTCTTCCTTTTTTTTTTTCTTTTCTCTGCCACAATGTATTATTTTTAACTCTTAAATCTGGGGAAAAAAGTATTAAAATATTATATCCAGAATGCACTGATGCACACATTCATGTGAAGGCAAATAAAATAAAATTTATTAGTCACCTTGAGCTGCAATTCAATCCTTAAAAACGTGCCTTTTCCTCTTCAAAAACTGTTCTACAGAACTAAATCGTTGACACTGGGAAACTGATATTTTGAATACAGCACCTAAGAGCCCGAAGACAGGACTCTAAACACAGAGCGCCAAGAAGTTCTGCATGGCACAAGAAACATACTTACCAGCCAGCCTCACAAATGAAAAGATTCTACGAAACCTTACCTTACTTTCCCTTATCTTAGGGAAATACCATTTAAGATTTTTAATAATAATAATAATAATAATAATAATATCAAAGAATAGCCCATGACTCCCTACCCTATTCACACTAACTGTATCTTAGCATCGCCAATGCATAGACCCATAGCAATAGTTCCCTTTGCTTACCGCTTTCACTCCATACTACATCTGAACGTCCTCGTATACGTTTTTTTTTTCCTCAGCAAAGAAACAACTCAGTACCAACCCACTATCAAAAAATGAAGGATCCAGGAAGCAACAAATCAAGTCTCTTAAATGATATTGCTTTCATGAGAATAACTGGTGTAGAGCTATTGGGAGCACACACACACACACACACACACACACACACACACACACACACACACAGTGCCGGTGATTGGTTGAAGGACGCTGGAGTTACGAAGCTGCCCCTCACAGTATTAGTACAAGAGGGAGACGGTACCAGTTGTCACCTAAGACCAGGCCTTCCAAATGACACTGGATGAATGAAGCCTATATCCTGTTGCAAACAGAGACATGAAATCTGAACCATGAGCCGTTCAGCTAGATATGTGTTTTACTCCCACAAAGTAGAGGAACGGCGGAAAAGTTGCCATGCCATGCTTTCTCAGAGCGGCAGACAGAAACGCTGCAGCAATCTAACAGTGCACGCACGCGCACATGGAAGCATGAGCTACAACCTCTCTAGAACTGTGACTATGTGCATGACTGCACACGTGACCATGTGTGTGTGGCACACAGGAACTGGGTGAGAACAGATTAGCTATGCAGATGCTTGCTGGTACAGTTTCACGGTACACACTGGCATCACAGCAGGGAGCTGCCATGGCAGCATTTTGGGTACCCTTTGGGGTCTCATCTTCCCAAGGTTACCGTGGTACGCGCAACAGCCTGACATTCTCTAGAGGTGAGTTCAATGGATGTAACTGCTGTATCTCATCTTCAGAGTAAGAGCAACTTAGAGAAGGAATTCTGGGGTGCACTATCAGAAATAGACACAGATATTGCTTTAAAAAAGAAAAAAGGCTGGCAATTTAGTTGGCGGACTATCAGCAAATAGATTTCTGGCTAAGGCTTCTACCTGTTTTTCCAAGGTCACTGAACAATTGATGGGAGACCATTTAAATAGGAATTATTGATTAAAAAAAAACATTTACTAGTTTCACATGGACTTTGAAAGCAAGGAGGCACACCTGTGCAATTGTTCCTGCAAAGGTTCGTTAGAAGCAACAGCAGCCACGGTGTCACCTCCGATCCCCACCACTGTCAAGATAACATCCTCCATTAGATAAATTGGGCAAGCTGGCTACCGTGCTACTTCAGCTCAACGCCAGTCTTTGTTAGAGTTCCCATTTCAGTTTCTGCAGCTCAGATAAGCTTATCTCAGGGCTTTGAGCTGACGTTCTGGATGGCACAACAGACCTGATTACCAGGGGATCCACTAATGAGCATCAAAAAAAAAAAAAAAAAAAAGCTACCACCTCCAGAGAATGCATGGGATAGTCTCAAGTCCAGAAGTAAAAAAAAAAAAAAAGAGAGATTCTCAAATTTCCCGTGGAAGGTTAGAGTTGAATGGGAATGTATGCAGATACATTTTAACAAATCCTGCATAAAATTTAGCTGAACAAAAAATAGTATACGTCTATAGACAAGATTTTTTTTTTCTGTTGAAAATATGGGCTTTGAATTCAAAAGTACATTAAGTTATACTCTTTCTGTTTGCCTTGCCTTGTTATTCAGAGATTAGATTCATTTGGAATTAACCAAAACTGCTTTATTCTTAGAGTCTTAGCAATATCACTTAGCTCTCCGAACATAAGAGCAGGCTCCAAACAGAATGATAACCTGACTCATTTTAAGTCTATCTCTCCAAATTTATGAGCTTCTACCCCAGAGTTCTTCTCTCCCTCAAATCACATTAATGATATTTGACATGGTGACAGACAGAGAGAGAGAGAGAAAGAGAGATTCATTTCTGTCAAATGAGTACAGGCTACACTGCAGGTTTTGTTGAAACCATCTTCCTTTTATCCCAGTTTGGTAAATTTCTAAGGTCCTCTGACCATCTACAACTGGTAGGGCAGACCTTGGCTTAAAGAGTGTCCTCTATGTTATTTCCATGGCTGATTTTGAAACCTGCTATGCACTGGATTCTGCATTATAAAAATCTAACCTGGATACAGAATTTCTGCCTGTCATCTTAGGAAAGGCCAGGAGTTTTGCACCATCCTGTAATGTGAAAACAGAAAATCAAAGGCAGCACAGAGCTGCCTGCTTCTTCTCTGACCAATTTGTTGCTTTTTTCTGAGTCAATGTTGGTTGTCACTATCTTTGGCTGGAAAGGGCAAGTTAGTAGAATATTTTGTAGTTTAAATAGCATCTCCTGGGGGAAGTTCCTCCTCACACTTAATATTAAACGTGACAAGATAATCCGCAACTAATCATTTGATGGTTAACTAAGAGCCATTTCCTTTCTAAACTGGTATGATCCTGATTAAGGAGCCAAGAGGCAAAAGGCCCCGGTATTTTTCTTACATCTCTCTTTCTGCTGCAATGACAGCCTCCATAAAACTCCAGTTTATGAACCAAATTTGTTGCACCCCTCACTCCAATATTATAATTCAAACCCCGGAGATCAGAATATCTTTTAAGATATGTAAACAGTTCACTGAAAACGACAGTGTGGATAACTCTATCTATGACCTCTCCCGTCTAATGTCAATTTCTGAAAATAACTTTCCATTGCAAAGATTTAACTAGTGTGCTTTCATGAACCTACCACAAAATAACCTTATCTTCTCCCCCAACTTGTTTGGTCTGCAAGCTTCCTCTTAGCTGTCTCAGCTTCCTGCAAACACTAAGGCTTTTCTCTTTCAAAGGGGCTGGTTGCTGTGGAGGTTCTGAGCTAGGCAGAAGCCCTCTGGTTTGATTCCATTAGCCTAAGCCCCGGCCGGTTGTGAGCAAGCTGCAGTATCTGCTTGCAAAAATCCTGTCAGTCAGGTTCTAGACACAGACACCGGCTGTATGCTTTCTTCCATACTGGTCTACCCAAATCTTGCCTGGAGCCAGCCAACCACAGCAGAGGGAATCCTACCTTCCATCATGGTGGCAGAATTGCATTCCTTAATTTCCAAGGAGTCAGAAAAAAAAACACAGGAGGATACGCTTCCAGGTCCCAGCTAAGTCCTCACAACGCCGCTTCCGAAGTCTGCTCTGCTGGCTGCCAAGCCAAAGGAGACAAGTGTTAACCCGAAGGACAGGCCATGGATGCTGCTAGTGCTGCTTCACCTACAGGCCCCCAGGAAGATGCTGAGAGAGAAAGGCAGAGGAACCAGCAAGCCGGCGAGCCGCACCGCCTGCGCTGCCTCGGCCAATCCCTTCAGCTCTGGACCGCGTCACATGGTAGCCAGCCTGCATCTCCTGACACAATACCCCCGGAGAGCGCACGGAACCCATTTCCCGTCCCCATTGCTCGCCACCCCCACCGCCTCCCGCTCCTCTCCAAACACACAGCCCCTTCCCCACCTGGTGACGCACTTCCCCCGCCCCTCCTCGTGGACCTCGCAAGCCTATTGCGGCTCCGGGGTGCCCGATGATCTGAGCTGCCACCGTGAGTGGGGACGCCAGCGAGAAAGGAGCCCAGGAGGCTGCGTGCCCGGGGGATTTTTTTTATTATTATTATTCGTTTTTCTCTCTTTCATCTATTTTTTTTTTTTTTAAAAAGAACTTCTCAATAATTCCAGGTCTTGGCAACACACTTTTTTATATCCCCATTCCAACCTCATTTTGACCTAAAGGAATTTCAAATGTCAGCGCCCGGCCTCTGCACACATCTGTCATCTGTGGCTGGCTCGCGCTCTCTGTCTCCCCCTCCACACCACCCCCTCCCTTCTCCCCATCTATGTTTCTCTGTCTCTCGGTGTGTATCTCTCCCTCTCATTCACGAGAGAAAAATCAATTCGCTGACGTCACGTCATAAACAACCATCCCCCAAAGGATGATGCAGAAAAAAAAAAAAAAAAATTCACCCCAGCTCCCTTGAAAGGAAGCAGGAAATTAATTGCGCATGACATGCCCAAGGGCTGGGAACTGTCATTAAAACAAAGAAACAAAAGAACCCACCCGATCCGGGCTCTGGAATCAAACCGGCGACGCTCCAGCTCATTTCTGGGGCGAGAGGCCGGAGAGGGGGCTGAGGCAAGAGCCTAAGCCTTGGCCTCCGCAGGCGTGTGCGCGCCTCCCCCGCCCTCGCACTCCTCTCGGCGTCAGCGACCCCGACCTGCGGGTCCCTCGGTGCCCGCGTCCTCCCACAGAGCTGGGCCGCCGCCCGCTCCAGGTGGGGAGCTCGCAGCTTTGGCTACAGCTGCCAACTGCAGCCCCTGCTACATGGCGTGTTTTGCCAGACGCTCTCTCTTGCCTGGGAGCCCAGTCTTTCACCCCAAGGGATATCTAGAGTGAGGCGACTGGTCCAAGTTGCCGGGGAAGGAATGGGCGGAGCCCAGGGTTTGGCAACTTGCTGGGATGGGTTCTGCTTGCCCCAGTAAAGGTTCAGGCATGAGGTCTGGTTGCGTCTGAGGGTCTGTCACCGGAGTGCTCTCAAGAGACCTGAGAGTCCTTCAAAGGGTCTCCCAGGCCCGGTGTCCTGCGATCCTGCGTTTAACCAGGCCAGACAGCTAAGGAAAAAATAAATTAGATAGGCGATAGATGATAGATAGATAGGAGTAGGGGAGGCCACCAGAGGGGAGGGGAGCAGATGATGAAGGTGATGGGAGACTAGAGAAAGGTCTCTTTAAAATAAGGAACAATAGCAGAATCAGGGCTATGAAAATCCCCTTATTGAAGGTCAGGGTATCAAACAGGGCTGATTGTTTATGACACCCTCACTTAATACTACCCAAATCTCAACATATTCCAGTCCTTTCTTCCGGAGGGAATAGGAGATGCTGGTGGCAGTGAAATACTACAGAGTGTAGCTAAAGAGGCCAAGCAAAGAAACAAATTAGTCAAAACCAAAAAGAAACTCAATTCCTTAGCAACTTACAAGATATTTTGATTAAAAAGACTTACTATTTTCCCTCAAGAATACATATTTCAATGGCCTCTGAATTTCAGAATTAAAGTCTCATGGAAGATACACTTGCTTGTGGCTTTTTTCCTATGTCTATAAGGCAGTAGAGTTTTAAAGGGAAGAGATTACAAAGGAAACATCTGTTTTTGTTTTGTTTTGAGACTGAGTTTCTGTGTGTAGCTTTGGCTGTCCTGAACTCACTTTGAAGACCAGGCTGGCCTTGAACTCACAGAGATCCGCCTGCCTCTGCCTCCCTCAGTACTGGAATCACACGTGTGTGCCACCACAACCAGCATAAAACATATCCTAAGGACAACTTGATCTGCTCTAAAATCTTCAGTGAGTTATCACATAAAGGACGTGTCTGTGCGTGTGTGTGTGTGTGTGTGTGTGTGTGTGTGTGTGTGTGTGTGTGTATGAGAGAGAGAGGGAGGAGAGATTAGCAAATTGTTTTAATGAAGATTAAAAACATGGATGGATACTGATGTCAAACAGAATGAGATGGAATTGTGGCTCTTCTTCGTTGGGGTCTGAGACCCTAGGCCAGTCGTGCACTACTCTGGGCTTTGGTTTCTTATCTATAAAATGAATATTTGAATAATCCCAAGTTCACAAGTTTTTAAGCCAGTGGTTCTGAACCTTTGTGCGAGTCATGACCCTTTTGTGAGTCAAACAAGAGGGGTCACCTAAGACCATCCGAAAACACAGATACTTGCATTACAAATCCACAACAGCAGCAAAAGTGCAGTTAGGAAGGAGCAGCAAAAAACTGAGGAACTGTGTTTTTTAAAGGGTCACAGCAGTAGGAAGGTTGAGAACAGCTGTGAGAAACAGTAATAATAGCGAGTCTGCCCAAACAAATGCCTTACTATATTACCGAACCGTGTTCTGATGCTCTGCCAGAAGTGACTTAGTGTTGCGTCTAGAGCTTTGTTAGGTCCCCCATGTTAGCTTTGCAGAACTAGTATCACCGACACAGAAGGCCTGGCACATGCAACCTGTGCAACCCCGAAGGTTGCAGCCAGAAAACGGAGGGCACAGAGAGCACGCTGAGAACAGTGCGGAAAGACTAGGTGAGGTGGAGGGCCCGGCTTGTTTAGAGACACTTGGAAGGCTGCTGAAGAAAAGGTAGAACCAAGCAAGATGAATTGGGAAAATCCTAGGGTGATGGAATTTTAGGACAGTTTGGAACAAAAATGGGATGAACTTGAGGTGAATGTTATCAAAAGGATAAGGAGCCCTGAATGGTGAGGTTGGGTGAAATACGGAGGTGAATGGAGGTAGGAAATGCAGGAGAGGAACCATGGCTGCAGATAAAAGGGGGGAGGGGGGAGTTTGCTGCCTCTGCTCCCAGCCCTGACTCTAGTGTAACAGAGAAGACCTATCGTATTTACTGCATGTTCACACCAGTTTGGTTTTAGGATTGCAACAAGCCTAATAGCTAGACAGAAAGTGAACTCGAAGATTCTTGCTCTTAATATATTTTGACATTTTCAATGTACACAGAAACATTGTACATATTTAAGAGGTAACTGTATAGGTGGCATGGATAGGGATTAGATCAAGGTAATGAACACATCTGCCACCTCAAGAAACCTGTGTGTGTGAGAGAGCAAGAGAGAGAGACACACACAGACACAGACACACACAGAGAGACAGAGACATTAAAATCTTTCCTACTAGCTATTTAGAAGTAAATCATTATAATCAACCATATGACTGTGCTGCACCTCTGAAGTTACACTTATCAGCTGCACCCCCACACTGGTTCATATCTTCCCTTAGCCTGTTCCCTTACAGTTACCAGCTGCCAATAATACTGCTCTGTTCTCTAGTTCAGTCAAACAGAATGGTTAGCTTCAACGTGGAATTAGAATACGTGTATGCATCTTTCTATACTTGCCCGACACGTCACCTAATCTAATGTCCTGCAAGCTCACTCATTACAGTAAGTAGCTGTAGTACATTCTAATCGGTGAAAATCCACTGTGTGTGTGCGCGTTTCCTTATCTGTTCATTTGTTGATGGACACTTGGGTTGATTCCACATTTTGGCTATTGTAAATAATGACATAATACACAGTAAGTGCAAATGTCTCTTTAACATACTAGTTTTCTTCTTGTTGAGTGTATACCCAGGGATAGAACTGCCAGATCCTGTGGCAGTCCTCTGTCAAGTTGAGCAAGCTTTCTATTGTTTATACACACACACGTATATATATATACATGTGTGTGTGTGTGTGTGTGTGTGTGTGTATAATTGCATTTCTACAGACAGTACATAAGCATTCTGTTTCCTCAGCGCTTCATCGGTATCTGTTATGGTTTTCGTCTTATTGTTAATAGACAATTTTAGGTGGTTTTCTTTTTCCCTGGTAATTAGTGGCATTAAGCATCTTTTACACATTTTCTGGTTCTTTATGTATTTTCTTTTAAGAATTGTTGATTCAGGACATTTGGTCAATAGTTACTATGTTTATAAGAAAAACAAAATGTGTAGCTATGATTGCCTTAGAAGGACCAGCAAAGAGGTATGTAGCAAAAAGTTGTCAGGTCAGTTCTCTGCACGTTTATCAGCTGCTTGACTTGTGCCTTTAAAAAGATGATGATATTATCAATTATAAGACTATCCATTTCACATTAAAAACTTACTCAAATATGTTGTCAGAAAAGATCAAATATCTTGATGTTGTCTCCTAATAAATATTTTTTAGGGGAATGTGGTTTGTTCAAGATCATAAGCAACATTTTAGATTATGACCAAATTTCCTCACTTTGGGGGATAACTCTTTCTTTGATGACAAGTCCCAAAGAAGAATTTCTTGCTGCTGAAATAATGGGAATTATTATCTTGGAAAAGATGGGCTGGATTGAGGCTTAACATCAGAATGTAAGCATTGTGTGGGAGCCTGGTCCAGGGTGATAGGGACAGACCCATGTCACACTAGGCTCACAGATCATGACTTTGGCCAGCCAAAGATCAAAAACCTAGGTACTGATGTCACTAGACTTTGGATTATGCTTCTGAAATTAGGTTTGCATTGTGGTGATGCTTCATTAGTTATTAGTAATATAGAATCAGATTCCAGCTGGGTGTGGTGGCCAGGTCTTTTCTAGTACTCTGGAGGAAGGTAGAACTGTGAGTTCAAGGCCAGCCTGGTTTACGTATCATGTTTGAGGCCAGCCAAGGCTACACAGTAAGACCCTGTCTTAAAATATAAACAAAGAAAGAAAGAAAAGAAGTCAGATACCTAATATGTTCTCAAAAGTTGGACTTCTTAATTTCTTTTTAATTTTTTATTTTAGAGGATTGTCTCTTCCTATTAAAACAAAAATAGAGAAAACAAAGAATGAGAACTGAGCCAGAGATGGAGGAAGAAAAGTTAACCTAAGGAGAAAGGTTTAAAGGTTCTCATCTTAGCAGACCATTTGACTCTCTCCATTCCATACTCTCCTTGGAGGAAGTCAATGATTGTAAAAGGGGAATGTTGCCCAAGCCCTAAATCAGCAGTCGCACTTGAGAAAACCGAGTTCTCAAGTGAGAGGTTTGTATATCTGACATGAGGTGAAAGCAGATGAGGTTTTGTTCAGATCCTGCTGGTTTTTTTTTAAATATACATACATCAATGTATAAAATGCCTCTATGTGTGTATGCATTTCATATATACATGCATGCATATATGATGCTCTTGGTTAAAAATGAAAGAATTACAACTTGAAATATTAATGAAAATAGACAAGAAAGA